GGGGGAAAGCCCCCCAAAATGCAGGGCTTTTTGCATGGGCTGTCTGAAGTGCTCAGAACTTAGCCATTTATGAGCCCGTTGAGTGTATTTGGAACAATGGAATTGTTTAATAATGAAAACAAATAATCAGTGGACGTTAAAGTTATCCACTCTGTGTACAGGCATGGGTATCCCATCTGCGGTGGGGCTGTGTGTGCCAATGGTCCTTATTGCCTGACCTCTCTGTCTCTCTCTGGTTGTAACTGTTATTTATTTTTGTTAATTCTCACCAGAGGATATTTTCCCATTGATTTTTAGAGAGAGTGGAAGTGAGGGGGGAGGGGGGAGACAGAGAGAGAGAGAGAAACATCAATGTCAGAGAGGCACACACACTGATTGGCTGCCTCCCGTGCTGCCCCAACCAGGGCTGGAGATGGAGCCAGCAAGCGCGTTACATGCCCTTGACGGGAATTGAACCCGGGACCCTTCAGTCTGCAGGCTGTTCTTCTATCCACTGAGCCAAACCAGCTAGGGCAGTGGTTCTCAACCTTCCTAATGCCGAGACCCTTTAATACAATTCCTCATGTTGTGGCGACCCCCAATTTTATTGTTCCAAATTGAACATAATGAAAGCATAGTGATTAATCACAAAAACAATATGTAATTATATATGTGTTTTCTTTTTTTTTTTTTAAATATATTTTATTGATTTTTTACAGAGAGGAAGGGAGAGGGATAGAGAGTCAGAAACATCAATCAGCTGCCTCCTGCACACACCCCACCAGGGATGTGCCTGCAACCAAGGTACATGCCCCTGACCGGAGTCGAACCTGGGACCCTTCAGTCCTCAGGCAGACGCTCTATCCATTGAGCCAAACCGGTCAGGGCATATGTGTTTTCTGATGGTCTTAGGCGACCCCCAAAGGGGTCGCGACCCACAGGTTGAGAACCGCTGGGCTAGGGCGTAACTGTCATTTTTATTCTTCCTTCCTATAAGGGGGGAGCCTGTTTCTCTCTCTATCCTCTCCCTCTGAGGTGTGAGTTATGAGGGTTATTTTTGCTTCAGAGATGATGGATATTTTGGGAGAGTTAATCCTTTTCTCTACTTTCCTGACATTTCTCTGTGGAATGACTGGCGCGTTCAGGGCCAGGCTGACAGACATGCTTGGTTGCTGTTGTTGTTTCCATACTATTTTCACTTTTATTGATGACATGATTGGGGGAATCTAGTCTCAGGTGCATGCATTCATGGAAGGAATCATTTCATGGTTCAAAAAGGAGGGCTAAATAACTTGATTTTCTTTTTTAAATATACTTTTTGTTGTTGATAGTCAAACCGGGAATCAAACCACGGCCTCTTGGTTCATAGGTCAATGCTCACCACTGAGCCACACCGCCCGGGCGCAAGTATGCGCTTTGATGCCCAAAGTGGCCCTGGCGCTCTTGGCTGCTGGGCCCAGAGTCTGCACGTGCCCCTTACTCACAAGGACCCAGCGCACAAGTGGACGAGGGACGAGGGACAGGCCGGGTCTGGCTGTCCCAGACCTGGGTCAGCCTGGACCGGCCCGGTGGGTCCTGGCCTCGGGGACGGCGACCACGGCCCCACTTTCTCTCCGATCTCCTGCCGCCCCGAGCGGGAGCCTCTGGACACCGCCCCCTGCACCAGCCGGCCATTCCCTGGCGCACTGAAGTGGGGGCCCCCTCGGTCACTACGAATAGCTTCGGGGGCTGCTCGGGGAGCCCACCTGGCCGGGAGTGGGCCAGCCGGG